AAGCTCTGTAGGCATAGCAAGGGAGAGTGCCTTTAAACAGGAGCTTGCTTCACAAATTGGAGACAAAGAGGCCAGCTGTTGCTAGAGTGAAGTAAGCAAGAGAACAGTGGGAAATGATACCTGAGCAAGAGCTAAGAGCCAGATCATGTAGCTAGATGAGTAAGCTAGTGAGAGAATGGAAGGAAATGCCACTGGAGAGCTAAGGGCCATGTGGGACCTTGGAGGTCATGGTAAGAACTTAAGCTTTTATTCTGAGAGGGGAGATCTTTAAGGATTTTAAAAAGGGGTGTGATACAATTTAGATGTTTTGAAAAGGTTATTCTAGCTGCTATGTGGAAAACAGACTGCAGGGAGATGAGAGCTTATTCAAAGAGGTTGGATAGAAGGCTTATTGAAGAAGGTGACTTGGATTAGGGTAGTAGAGATGGAGGTGGGATATGTGATTAGATTACAGATATATTTGAAATAAGGAAGACTACAGATTTGCTGATTGTTTGGATGTGGAGTGTGAAAGAGAAGGGAAGTTTGCAGCATGAGCAGTTGAAAGAATGGAGTTGCTATTTACAAAAATAGAGACTAAAGGAGAGTAGATTGAAGAGAGATATTTGAGACATGTAAATTTGAAATAGCTATTTGACATCCAAATAAGTATATCAAGTAGACCATTGGATATGAATTAGAGAGAAAGTGACAGGTTGGAGTATATTAGCCAAGCAAAATATGCTACAATAAATTCTGAAGAGTTGTCTACCTTTTCACTCGACAAGATGCTCTCCATCTTGCACTTGTTCACCTCACCTCAACGTGACCTTTATATATATCTGTGTGCCATTTTGGTTTTCCACTTTGCAAACTCCCATTCTTTCCCCTGAGAAGTGCCTCTCAAACAACTAGGTATACAAACACTTAACAAAAGTGTATACTGTGCACTATTAAAAAATACCAATTTTGTTTATATTACTGTCTGAAGGAAAAGTTAAATAGCAACAAGGTTCTTTATTTAGTTCATTGAGTTTTAAATATTCTGTAACTTTCTCTATTTTTAATCAGAAAAGGGAAGTTTTCAGCACAACATCTGAATGAACAATTTATTTTTTAGATCTGAGAGATTACTGCTTTTCTGTAAAAAAACCTCCTCATCCATACCAAATTATAAAATAGATCTTCCTTTTTGGAGAGCCATTTGGCAATATCTGGTAAAATGGAAGATGTTGATATGACCTAGAAATTCCACTTCTAGGAATATTACCTAGGAAAACTCTTGAAAAGTGTACAAAAAAATAGCTATAAGAATGTTGCAGCTTTGTTTGTAATAATGGAAAATTGCAGCAACCTATTCTTCAACAGAAAAATTGTTAAACTATGGCGTATTCAAGCAATAAAACACTATAAACAGTTCAAAATAAATAACCTAGAACTACATTTATTATTGTGGATAAAAATCACAATGTTGAGTGAATAAGGAAGGCTGGACAAAAAATTTATATGGTTTTTATTTTACATATCTCAAAAAGGAAGATCATCCTATCTAAATCATAGAAAATTCCATGTGCGAAACACTATGAGATGGTTTTTACCTGTATTAATTTAATTCTAACAACCTTGTGAAATAAATGATGTTATTACTGTTTTGCAATATGTGCCAGACACTATTCTAAGTTCTGAAGTAACAGCAGTTAACTAAAAGACATAATAAAAAATTTGTAAACTATTATATGTCAGGTAGTAATGTAGGCTACGAAGAAAAAGCAGAGTAGCAGGATAGAGTAATAAGGATTGAAAACTGAAACTCCTAGAGAGTAAGAAACCTAATGAAAGTCATTCAACTTAGAAATTTATAGCTAGATTTAAACCTAAATCAAATTCCAGATGCTTCTCCTTTCAAAAGATTGTTAAGTCAGTCATTTATGCGTTGGAAAAATACACTAATTCATAGCACCTGAAATCAGCAACACTAGAAGAAAAAGTTTAATAGAACAGGAAGGAATAGAGAACGAGGTAGATAGTGGGTGCTTTGATTCCCACTGGCTGTGGGAATTAAAAAATAAGATTTGAAAGTGAGAAGAGTCAAGAAAGCAAATTAAGCACCATCTTAATTTTGCCTTAAGCCTTGATAGCAGCTTGAGTGATACTGAAAATCATTTTTGAGTGCTACTTATTGGAAGTAGGTTGCGGATTGCCAGTGTCAGTGTTAGGAAATTTAAGGAGAGAGTGCATTAATGTATTTGTTAAGAACATGAATTTGAGAGTCAGACAACCTCAATACCCGATCATTTATTTAATAGTTGTTTGGCTTTAGGGCAAGCCAGTTAACCTTTTAAAGCCTTTTCTTTTCCCAGTAGGCTCTGTCCACAATACTCTAAATTAATTTCTCAGCTGCTTTTTTTCTTCTCAGACATCAGAATAACCATATCTTCTATTATTAGATAAATTGATCATAACCTACACTACCTGGTTCACATTTCCCCCTCACTGCCATCCCCTATAAAATTCATTAAATGCTTACTGTGGAAATAAACAGAGACCAACCAAATGAGAAAAGCAAAACCTATTTTTTCTGAGCTCTCCATAGTAAGGGAGTCAGCCACCATCACTTGCATTTTGGCAGAGACTCAAAGGCAGGCAGAAGAGTGGGAGAGCTTTATAGTGGAAAAAGGTGAAGGCTGCTGGCATGGAGAGATTGTAGGCATTGGTTAGAGGCTTTCTCTCCTAGGTCCTAAGTTGGAAGCGGAGATAAAAAATAGGGAAGCTGTCAGTTTTTAATAAATTACTTGTCATATTGGGCTGATTGTAATAGAAGTACTGTTTATCTTCCTGGTCTCAAAAGGTAGCAGTCTGACTTCCTACAGGTCTGACTTATATAGCAGGCTAGCTTTTGGGGCTATTAATTATAGATAAGGGGTTGGCTTTCTGGGCAAGTTGCTGCAGATTGTGGGTCAAAGTTCTATTTTTATATGTGGTCTGGCCATTGTTCATTAGTATACTTGGTCTCTCACTATTTTGCATCATTTACAATTATTTTGAGTTAAAGTATTTACCATAGGCTAGAAGGTTAATGTCTTCATGAGGTATTTAATTTAGCATGATTCCCCACAAGAATTTAGCAAGCTGAAATTTTTTTTTTCCAGCACTGACATATTATTGCTTTTTCACTTTCAGTGGTTACAAATGACACGGGAACTGAGCTTCCAAAAATTTATTGAACAATCAGACTTACTAGAAGAACTTAAATATGACTTCAATGAAAAAGCTGAATTGAGACACATTGAGACACAAAGGCCTTTTGTCTTTAACTATTATAAAAATGTCCCTGAGAGAAATAGCAAGCGCTACCAGGCCCTTGGCCATTTGCTTGAACAATACATTTATGAGCTTTTGGAGAAAGTGTGCAAATTACAAAAAGTATACATCCCACCAGAGGCTGATAAGGAACCAAGAAGCTTTTTTTTTATGAGTGAGAGAGCATTAACAAATCATCATTCTGCCCTTCTTGTCCTTCTTCAAGACCATGGGGTCTTTAGAGCTGGTCAGTGGAGTCAGCAGTCCATAATACATCATGGTCTACAACATGGAAGTCAGATACCATGTATTCAAATGGCATTGCAGGCACATTATGATGTAATTGTGCTGAACCCCAATGACAATTTTGTGGACCTCAAGATGGAAAAAGAGTGGAAAGGCCTTTTAACACAAAATATTGAGTCTTCTTCCCTAAAAGTGGTTCAGACTGAGAGTTTTTTATCTCTCCAGCAGCCTCTCCGAAGTATTCCAAAAAGATGTAGCAACACCCCTGAAGAACATGTGGCTTACACTTGGGATTACTTCATTTCAAAGGCTGAAGGCAAGGATGTTGCCTTCATTGTACATGGTTATGGAGGCTTGGTTTTTATGGACTTGCTTGTTCGTAGGAAGAGGGAAGTGATGAGCAAAGTATATGCTGTTGCACTTATTGACTCTCAACATCATGTAAGACACCAGCTGGGAAGTGATGTACAGTTATTAGCATGGATAAAGCACCACTGCCGTGAATGGGTCACAAGTCCTAGAGCTTTGGATAAACCTGCAGATACTGTTTTGAAAAAAGAATTCCCAACGGTTTCTGCTGGTACAGAAAAACACGACTTAGCCCCTTCCTCTAGCCTTCAGTCAATTTTTAAATACTTTAAAAAAGCTCTGAAAGCCAAAACAACTATTAATTCCTCGCACATACCAATAGTAACTAGAAGCTCCACAAAAATAAAGGAAAGTGCTTAAATTACTTTTTGTCACCTAAGTTTTGTCTCACTGAAACTCGTTTAATGTAGATGCTAGAAAAAAAAGAACACTTCCAGCTCACACACAGCATTATGTTCTGGATTAAGGTCTGATTTGTTACTTTTTTTAAAGAGAACATGTTCTCTTTTGTAGCCTATTGATGAACAGAAAGTCAGTTTATATTATCATTAATATTTTACGGTATTAATCAAGTTAGATCTTTCTTTTGAAAAGCGACTTTCTAATGGTTTAATAGAATGGCACCAAAACTGTAGTCAATAGAAATTAAATAGTAAATCAATCTTTGATTCTTATGTTATTAATGTCATGTTAAAATTACAAGTGAACATAAAAATTAAATATCATAAGCAAACTCAATTCTTTGTTCATGTTCTTTTAAATTTTTTTGGTCATGCATGTCTGTTTTCTCATACATAAGCTAATATTTGAGTGTCTACTATGTGCCAGTCAATACTAGGTATTGAGGACACTGGCAAAGAAGGCCAACATTGCCTTCATCCTTATGGAATTCACAGTGAACAACAAATTGCATGTGTGAAGTGTTAAGAAATAAAGAGTGCCATGGAACATCTAGCATAATAGCTAAAAAGCCTTGGAGTTCAGGGACTACTTCCCGGAGAAAATGGTGCTTAGTTTGAAGAACAGTAGTAGTTAGCTGGGGAAACAGTCACTGGCAAAAGAATAGCACGTACAAAGGTTCTGAGGCAGGAGAGAGAAGTCCAGTTTAGCTAGAGCTAAAAAAATTATGAGAGAGTAGTGTTAAAGAAAACATTATTCACTGACATTTGTTAAAGACAATAAGGAAGATTTTATTCAAGAAAGATTACTGCAATGGGGCAGTAGGAAATAGAGATCAGGATCAACCCCTAATACAAGGACAGTGGAGGGGATTTATAGTCAAGGAGCAGGAAAAGGATCAGTGAACGGAAAATTACTAAGTAGTAATATCAGGGGGTAAGGGAGATTCTTGCTGAAAGAAAGCCAAGGTGATGTGATACTGAAAGTGGAGGATGAGGTATTTTATCAAATATAGATGATGGTCACATACCAAAGCTGGGAGATTTTCACCAAACTGGCTCTGCAGAATTGATAAAATTGGACTAAAGAGACTAAAAACAGAGCCCAACTTTGGAGCCTAATTGAGAGGAGGGCACAGAGGAGCCAGACTCAGATTTGGTTAAGGAGAGAGTTTTTATCAGTAGCTGGAAAGTTGTTAGAAAAATAGGCAAAGGCAGCTTACACAAGGCTGCATTGTCCATCACTAAGATTTTTTACTTTATTCTAATGACAAGTCATTGGATGGTTTTAGAAGAATATTATTAGATTTACAGTTTATAAAGTATATCCTTCCTGCAGTTTGGAGAATAGATTAGAATGATGAGGACAAGCTTGGAAGCAGGGAGACCAAATTAACTTTGGCAGTAGTCTGAAAAATACTTAATACTCTTAATGAACAACATTATGTGATTGATTGGAGGTCAGAAATGAGAAGAAGAAAATGACAAGAATTACTCCCAGCTTTCTGGCTTGAGCAATTAGGTGTTTTGAAATACTATTTGCTGAGTAAGGAACTAACTACTGGTGAAAAAATGTATTTTCGCTGTTTCGGAAAGTTTTTTAAAAAGTAATAGTTTACAAATAATTTTTTTAGCTCTGCCCATAGATGAGTAAGAAAGGAACCCATATTAGACACTACATTTGAAAAACTGACTTTCGGCCATATCTATAGATCTACAGATTTCTCTATACATAGCTATATCTAGTATCTATTTTTTTAACCTAGCATATATTATAATATATGCTACTATCAAATGTTTTTATGCCCCCAAAATTCATATGTTGAGGTCTTAATCTCTAATGCGATAGTATTAGAATGGGGGAAGGGGCATGTTTTCGGGGTGATTAGATCATAAGGGTGGAGCCCTCATGAATCGGATTAGTGCTGTTATGAAAGAGACCCCAGAGAACTCCCTTCCACCATGTGAGGACACAGCAAGAAGATGGCCGGCCATCTATGAACCAGGAAGAGGCCTTTATCAGACACTGAATTTGCTGGTGCCTTGATCCTGGACTTTCCACCTTCTAGAAATAAATGTTGTTTAGGCCTCTCAGTCTATGATACCCAAACAAAGACAATTCCTTATCAGCAAAGACGTAAGATTTCAAGTTTCTCATTTTTTCTGCATCATGCACCATAATGAAAAAAAAAAAGGCACTGAATTGTATGTAAATCAGGATATATAAATTTTAAATGAATCTTAGCCTTCGATAAACTGTTAATCTCACCCAGCCTTCATTTCCCATTTTGTAAATGAGGTGAGCTCTGAAATCCCTTCCAACACAAATAGTCAAACTAGAATGTATTTAATGCACCTAATGTGAAAAGCACAAAAAAAATTAAAACATCACCATATCTTGCATTTATTTAACTGAAATTTGATATTTCTCATATCCCCCAATTTATTTAATCTGATAGTCAGATGTATTATCTATTACTGCATAATAGATTACCCCCAAAACTTGGTAGCTTAAAACAACAAACATTATATCCCAGTTTCTGTTCATCAGGAACTCAGGAGCAGCTTAGTTGGGTGATTCTGGCTCAGATTTCTCAGGAGAGAATACAGTCAAGATTGTCTGGATCTGCAATGATCTAATGCTTGACTAGCTGTTGGCAAGAGGCCTTAGTTCCTCACCATATGGACCTCTTACCTAGGCTGCTTCTGTTAAAGAAAAAATTATTCTGACACTTGTTAAAATGGTCAGAAAGACTTTACTAAGGGATATTGCAGTAAGGAAGAGAGATCAGGCTCAAGTCTGAATACAGCAAAGACAGCTGGGAATTTACCAAGGAGCATAGTGAGGGGATCAGTGGATGGAAAATTACTGAGAGACATCAAGGAGAAGGAATTCTTGCTAAAGGAAGGCCAAAGGCTTAGACATCAAGGGTGGGAGATGTTAATCAGATAACAAGAGTGGGAAGATGATTTAGCAGGACTCATATTAAGACTGAGCTATGTAAGAAGAAAAAAAAGAAAAAGAAAAAGACTGAGCTTTGTAGGTCCCACAAGGGTAAGATGATTCATGAAGGGCCTAGGTTGAGGACTAGTCCAGAGGAGGGTTCTGAAGAACCTAACAAAAGTTTGGTCTAGGAGAGTCTTTGTCACTTGAGTGTCCTCTGGACATGGCCAGTAACTTGTTTGAGGTCACAGTGGGTAGTCATGCATGCCTCAGGCCCACAACTTCCCTGATAAAAATTTATCTGCCATAATCAAGCTCTGCACATCGTTTTTGTGCATCTAGGTTAACAAACCTTTGAAATACCTCTTTTTTAGGCTTCTGAGAAACAACCACTTTCATAAAAGCACATAATCTTGTCAACTATCCTATAATCCAATCATAGATATTTCCTTGCCTTGCTTTCTTCCATATTCATGTAATCTTCCTTACCTTCCTTCCTCAATTCCAAATATATAAAAGAAACTGCAAAATTGTCATTCTCCAGAGCATTTGAGATTTTGCTTCCCAGCACATCTGCAGTTTAACTCAAATAAAAACACTTTTAAAATTTCTCTACAGGTTTACCTTTTTTTACGTGGACAATCCAAATGAATAAGCAAGCAGGAAACTGCAGTGCCTTTTATGACCTGCTCTCTGAAGTTGCATACTAGTCTATTAGTTTCCTATTAGGAGTCACTAAGTCCAAAGGAAGGAGAATTAGGCTCCACCTGTTGAAAAGAATGTCAAAGAACCTGGGGACACATCTTAAACCACCACATCAGAAATTATGCCAACTGAAACTAATGGTAAAGCACTTCAACTCATTTAGTTATAAGATTATCTTTGCTCTGGAAGCGTATTTTAATTTTTTGTTTGTTTGTTTTGATAAACAACTCATGTGTTTAGAAACTGGTTTTCTCTTTCTCTGCGAAAACATCAGTATTCTTGCCACAGACAAATGCTTGTGTTGAAATCAAAGCTTATTTTAAGCTTTCTCTCCCAGGGGCCACCTTACTCTATTTCTGTACTCTGACTTTTAATGTAGATCTATTGTTGCAAGTTGTTAAAAAAAAAAAAAAAAGAAAGAAAGAAAGAAAGAAAAGAAAAGGAACATCTCCAGTTTTTTGGCTATAAGCTGAAGCCCAGAGATGTGTCCTAGTAGAGAAAAGATAGATATGGGAGGGCTTCAGGAAAATCCTAAGACCTTCTGACATCATCATATGACAATTCAATTTTTTTTCCTTTCTTGTGGAAAGTAGTTAGAATTAATAGACTGTGATCATTGTTTGAAAGCAAAGTACACCAAGATTTGTGTGCCATTTCCCAATACTAGACAAAACATATTTCAACAAAAAGAACACATTGTTAGTAAATTCGTTAATGGAAAGTCTCTCTTTAACTGGAATTTCCCTCACTTGCTTTTCAACTTTTCTTCATAAACTAGTTCTCTAACTTTAGAGTGCATCAAGATAACCTGCAGATCTTAAGACAAGGATTGCTAGGCATCACTGCCAGAGTTTCTGATTCAGCAGAATTGGAAAACGGGGCCTCAAAATTTTGCATTTCTAACTAATTCCCAAGTGATGCTGATGCGGCTTGTCTGGAGATCACATTTTGTAAAGCACTGTTAGAAAGGCCAGGTTGGTAATAAAGTTAAATATACCTCACATGAGGTGAAAATTATGATAGATTATCATCTGGCCAACAGTTCCTCTCCTAAGGAAAGCAACAAGCGGAGTTTGTTGACTGAGCCCATGTTTTTTGACCCCAAAGATCTCTTCTCCCAAAGAAAAGGTGTCCTGGCCCAAAATAATGCTTTCTTTTCATTTGCTTAATAGTTCACTTGCCCCATCCTGTTTCCTATAAAAACTTTCCTGATAAGAGTCCCTGCCTTCCCCTAAGGGAAAGCAACCTTGCCTGAAATAATTCACTCATTCCCACCCTCTTTCTGCCTATAATTTGTACAACTCCCCAGAGCACCCTTCCAGTCGCTTGATGGGATGCTGCCTGATTCATAAATCTCTTCGTTAAAGCCAATTAGATCTTGAGATTTATTAGAGAATTTTGTTTTTTTAACAGTACATACCACTTTTTGTTGACCCATTAATCTGTTGATGGATGTTTCCATTGCTTCCACCTTTTGGCTATTGTCAATAATGCTAAAATGAACATTGGATTATAAGTATCTATTTTTGTCTCTGCTTTTAATTCATTTGAGTATATACCTAGGAGTAGAATTGCTGCATCATAAGGTAATTCTATCTTTAGTTTTTTGAGAACTCACTAAACTGTTTTCAATAGCAGTTGCACCATTTTACATTCCCACGAGCAGTGCACAAGAGTTCCAATTTCTCCACATCTTCATAACCGCAGACAATATTTATTATTCTTTCTTTATAATAGTGTTGACATAAGAACACCCGAACATATAGAAAAATGCTATGAGTTTATTAGCATCTATTTGAACCAAACAGGATATGCTTGGAAACAAGAGCTTAACAGACTGAGAAAAATGCTTCCTAGAATTATTACCGAACTCAAGGGATTCGTTTTATTGGCACGTGCCAAAGTCAAAGGAGACACGGACAGGAGTTTGCAGCAAAGAAAGCAAAGGTTCATTTACGGAAAAGGTGCCAAACTTGGAGACACAGGTGAGCTAATGCTCTAAGACCTGGCTCACCATGGCCTCTAGGGGATAGGTTATACAGAGGAAAACTCATTCATCGGGGTAGCTATTGGAGTTTGGGTTGTGGGCTCTACTGATTGGTTGTGGCTAAGCAGCTGATCATTGTATTAGGTCCTGATGTCAGTCATAGTGTCATTCTGTTTGGTGTCAAGGGGATGCCTGTAGGGTCATTCCGCTTTCATGGGTGTGAAGCTCCAAGATGTTATCTTTAGTTTGATCGGAAACTGTTTCTGTGGTCAACAGACCTGAAGATTTGTACCTAAAACAGATGCTGACCTTAGAGCTTAATGATTAGGGAGTGGTTGTGCAGTATGCAGAAGGATAAGGAAAGAAAAGAAGCAAGTGAGCACAAAGCCCTTTTCAATCAAGGAGAAAGAGAAAAATCATTTTGAAAAAGTAAAGAATGACAATTTGCAGGTTTTTTTATGCATTTGGAATTAAGGAGGGAATATAAGAAAGATTAAATGAAGGTGGAAGAAGACAAGGTGGGGATTGGATTGCAGAACAGTTAACAAGATTATGCGCTCCCTTGAGGGTGGTTATGATTCTGAGGGGTCTGAAAAAGAGGATTATTCTGGCATCTCAAAGATGTGTTACTCTAGATGCACAAGAATTGACAGGGCTTGCTTAAGGCAAAGATAAAAAACCTTTTACTAAAAAAGTTGCATGTCTGGGGTGTGACTAACCACCATGACCTGCCCAGATAGGAATTTATGATCAGATCACACTATGAGGTTACTTTCTGTCACTGCACTTGTTAGCTTTATTACAGAATCCCTTTTTCATCCATAGTAGCCATCAATGAGTATAAGGGGGTATCTCATTTTAGTTTTGATTTCCATATCTCTCAGGATTAGTGATGTTGACCATCTTTTCATGTGCTTATTGGCCATTCGAATGTGTATTTTGGAAAAAAGTCTGTCCAAGTTCTTTGCCCATTTTTTAAATTGGGTTGTTTGATTTTTTTGTTGTTGTTGAGTTATAGTAATTCTTTATATATTCTGGATATTAATCCCTTATCAGATGTGATTTGTAGTTGCCTTTTTACTCTGTTGATAGTGTCCTTTGATGTACACAAAGTTTTAATTTTGGCGAAGTCCAAAATGTCTATTTTCTCTTTTCTTGCCTGTGCTTTTGGGGACATAGCCAAGAAATCATTGCCAAATCCAATTCCATGACATTTCCCCCATGTTTTCTTCTAAAAGTTTTATAGTTTTCATATACTTTGAAGACTTTGATACATTTTGAGTTAATTTTCGAATATGGTTTTAGTTTAAGGGTCTAACTTGTTCAGCACCATTCCTTGAAAACACTGTCTTTTCCCCCAGTGAATAATGTGCCTTATGTTTTAAGAATGACAACTAAATCAAAAGACTTTAAAATATTGTGCTGGCTAAATAAAACACCTGCAGACTGGATTTTGGCCCAAACGCCACAAATTTGCAGTATGTGCCTTAATTTCATTTTCGAATTAAATTTTCCATATGAGCTAATAGGAGCAAGAGATATTTAGTGTTCTCTATCAGGTTCCAGGCATTGTACCAGGTACTAGCAACAACTTGATCAAAAAGGTTAATAAGTTACAGTACTAGCATCAATGAGTTTAAAGCTGAGTGAACTTGTGAAAACATTTGTAATACTATGTGAGTAAAGGCTTATAAATAAAGGGACCCAGTCGAGAGTAGATTAAGAGGATTACAGAGTTTTAAATAACGGGAAAACAAACAAACAAAAAAGCAGCTACATAGCCCACCTCGGTTATGAGAATTGCCTCAAGCCGCCCAGGGGCGGGTATCCAGCCTTCTCTCGGATAGCGCTGCTTAACAGCGCAGCTTTCCAGGACGGAAGTCTTTCCCTTGTGGCATGACGTCATATGACAGCGCCGGGAAGAGAGGGCGGGATTTCCGGCTGCTGGCCACGGGTCAATGATGATTTCCTGTGTTCACTGATAGGCCTGTTGCGGGTCAGGTGTGGCGCCGTCTTTGGGCTGCACTTCACAGCAGAGTCTTGTGGCCTCTCGGGGTCCCTGCGATTTGCACCGGCGGGAGCAACTGTCTCTGCACTTCTGGTATGGGCAGTTCTTGTAATCTCCCAGTGTGTGTTGAGGTGGGAGGAGGCAGGAGACGTTCTAAGATAGACTTAGTGGAGCATGTGCGCTAAGAAAGTCCACAGATTATTGGAAGGCAGTGATTTAAGAAACTATAGATAATACAATACCTAAAAAAAAAAGCAGTTTGCCAAAATTATATCCTTGTTCGCTTTTTACATTGTGCGTTTTCATTTCTATATCCTAAAAATCTTTACCAGTTACAGAGACAAAACTAAAAAATCTTTTGTTCTGAAATCAGCGTTTCTTACACTGGGGCTGAGGGCTCCTGGTTAAATATTCCGGAGAGTCTAAAGTAATTTTTTTTTTCTTTAAAATATGTCTGAACATATTTTAAATGTGAGAAGTATTGAACCAGGGTATTTATTCGAATAATACTTGAGTAATTACTGAGAGACATGTATGGCCAAGCATTGGGTAGTGTTAATATAAATACAGTCCTTGCCCTGATAGAGTTTACCACCTTGTGGGGCAAATAAGTAACCAGGCAATTACTATACAGTGTTACAAAGTACTATGATAGAGAGGTACAGAGTGCTATAAGAATAGAAAGAATATATGGTCTAAAGTTTCAGGTTAAGAATAGAGAGGTGTCGTTGAGGTGAGCAACAGGTTATTTCGTGAAAACGTTATAAACTCTTTATAAGTTTGGACTTTAACCTCGCAGC